TTCTTTTGTGTGTGTGTGTGTGTGTGTGTGTGTGTGTGTGTGTGTGTGTGTGTGTGTATCCCTTTTTAATGTATAATTGTAAAACTAGCATTGTAGTATCTCTTTGCTTATCCTTTGCCCAACTTACAAATAAAAACAATAAAATACGAAAATAAAAGATATGCTATTAAGTGTCGTCAGTAATCCTACATGAGACGGCCCTGAGATGCAACGGGGCGCCGTTTAGCCACGCAATTAATTAGGTCGTTTGCGTTGTGGCGATAATGCTTTAGCCACATCAATTAGGGCTTCGAAGCGCAATTGAACGGACATCTCTAGCTGCTCTATTTGGCCTGAACTTTGATGATGGTTAAATTAAGACTTAAATTTAAAAGAAACTGTTCAGTAGTGTTAAGAACGGTGCTTTCCTGCTCGATGAAACCCAAGTACACCTGGGGCATTATTTTTGCAAGGAAAACATGGCCATGAACCAGGCGGTGTTGGGCATGAGTCGCAAAGTGTATTGGGATAAATTTTTGCTGGAGCTAATTTTCATCTGATCACCGAACGGCAAACAAATATCTGTGCGCTGAAGGTGAAATGACAGTGAAAATGAAGGTTAAAATGTGACTTTAGTGAAAGAAATCTCGAAGGACATGCATATATAATCTTACACAAGCGAAGTGAAAGCTGTAGATGTTTTCTACTCGATTCATCGATTCACAAAGTAGCCTTTTTTCAGTGGGGTACAGCTGATTTTAGCAGTCGAAGCTTCGGAGTACGTCGGAATCTCCACGGTTGAACTGAAGATTACTCCCACTTATGAATTCGAAACTTTTAAAATGGCGGGAATTGAGCTTAACTTCGGCACTTTCTTTCTCACATATCTCGACTTATCTATAAATACATCGGTTTATTGATCGCCGGCCAACACAATGTGCCCTTTCTTGGTTTTTGACGGCAAGAGAGCTAAGAAAACCTACAAAGAAAAGGTGAGAATAATCGAAAACAAGGCAATGTTTCCTAGTTGAAAACTTGTGTAAAGCTTGAATAATCGAGTTTCGCTCTGTATTTTTGTATTAATCGTATCTATAACAAAATTTGCGATTGTGGTTTGTTCTCCGCGCGCCTATTTGCCAGGTACTCGCCGCGCGATCACCTGGGTGTCCAATTACAAGAATCCAATGAATGAGTTGCCAGAAATCGAATACCCGTGTTTGCGCGAAGAACTCTGGGATCGTCAGGGGGCAAACATTGCAAGTCGCTAGAAGGAAATGTATTGCAAAAAGTGGTTTCGGGGAGAGATCAACGCTTTTTCGCCGTTGTTGATACATAGAAAATGTAAATTTTTGTTTGAATAACCATGAAATAAGTGATAAAATTTACCGATAAACTCCCTTTTGCTTGCGTGAGGTTTGTTGTGAAATACATTGAAGAGAATCTTGAAAATTTCAATACACGCCTGTTCTCCAGAGACTACCCGGATCAAATGGCAGAAAAGACCCTCGCTCCGAGAAATGAAATATAGAGAAGAAGCTCTAAAAGAGAAATCGAAAATTGCAGAAGGAACTACTACCCTTTGTGTCGGGCAATTTCACTCAACCGTCAA